AAAAAAAAAAAAAAAAAAAAAAAAAAAAAAAGTCTGCAACAGCGTAATTCAGAGACAGGAAAGGGATGTGCAGTGCCCGGGGCTGGCGTGAGGATGTGCAGTGGCTGCTGATATGCACGGAGCTTCATTTCTTTCTTTCTGGAGATTGGTTCTCATTGCCGCCCAGGCTGGAATGCAGCGGCTCAATCACAGCTCACTGCAACCCTGAACTCCTGAGCGAGGGCGATCCTTCCACCTTAGCCTCCCAAGTAGCTGGGAGACAGGCACGAGCCACCACGCACAGATTTATACATGCGTGTATATATACACATTTTGAGATGGAGTCTCGCTCTGTTGCCCAGCCTGGAGTGAAGTGGTGTGATCTCGGCTCACTGCAACCTCCGCCTTCAGGTTCAAGTGATTCTCCTGCCTCAGCCTCCTGAGTAGCTGGGATTACAGGTGCCCACCACCATGCCTGGTTAATGTTTTGTATTTTTAGTAGAGACAGGGTTTCACCCCTGGCCAACATGGCCAGGCCGGTTGCCAACTCCTGACCTCAGGTGATCTGTCCGCCTTGGCCTCCTAAAATGCTGGGATTACAAGTGTGAGCCACCATGCCCAGCCTAATTTATATATATATATTTTATAGACATGTCTCACCATGCTGTCCAGGCTGGTCTGGACCTCCTGAGCTCAAGCAAGCCTCCCACCTTGCCTCCCAAAGCGTTGGGAGTACAGGTATGAGCACCAGGCCCTGCCGATTCATTTCTTTTTTTTTTTTTTTCTTTTTTCTATTTTTCTTTTAGAGACAGGGTCTCCTTTTGTTGCCCAGGCTGGAGTGCAGTGTTGTGATCAGAGCACACTGCAGCCATGACCTCCTGGGCTCAATGGATAGTCCTGCCTCAGCCTACTGAGTAGCTGGGACTACAAGGGTGCACCATCATGCCCAGCTCATTTTTATTTATTTTTTTGAGAAGGAGTCTCGCTGTGTGTCGCCCAGGCTGGAGTGCAGTGGCACGATCTTGGCTCCCTGCAACCTCCGCCTCCCAGGTTCAAGCAGTTCTCCTGCCTCAGCCTCCCAAGTAGCTGGGGATACAGGCACCTGCCACAATGCCTGGCTAATTTTTGTTATTTTTAGTAGAGACAGAGTTTCGCCATGTTGGCCAAGACTGGTCTCGAACACCCGACGTCAGGTGATCCACCTGCCTCGGCCTCCCAAGTGTGAGCCATGGTGCCCAGCCATGTCTAGCTAATTTTGACATTTTTTGCAGAGATGGGGGGTCTCGCTATGTTGCCCAGGTTGGTCTCCAACTTCTGATCTCAAGGCCCTCCTGCCTCCCCTCCCAAAGGGATTACAGGTGTGAGCCACTATGCCTGGCTGGTTTACCTCAAGAAAACGATGCAGAAATAATAGCACTTGTACGGTGTTTAGTAGGCCAGGTACATTAAGCACATTCTCAACTCCGTCAAAGGTCACTGAGCGATAATGCATCTGCCTGAGCCTGGTAGATGGCTCTGTTTTGCTGGTTTCCCAGAACCCTCCAGGGCAGGCTCCTCCTGTCCTCCTCTGCCCCTGCCCCAGGCATCTTGGCCCACAGTAGACGCCAGATGCCAGACAACTAAGACAGCTCAGAATCTCTTCCAGCCAGAGGGAAACTCAATTCTGCAGGCACCGCACAGAAGTATGTGGTCACATGCTTGGCTCAACAGCCTCCATCCAGGATCTATGTACAAGGCTAATACACAGATCGCAGGAAGTTGCATTTCTCTCCACCCCAGGCAAATTCCATGGTACACAAGGACACGGTGGGCTCTAGCACGTCCACTCGGACAGGGCACCACCGGGAGGGACAAGGACAAGTGCTTGGGGGTCCGAAACCACTGAGGGCTCCTTCTAGAGAGTTCCTTTTCTAATCACTGTGCGGGCTGGCTGACGTTATTAAACCTGAGGTTTGCCCAGGGCAGTGGAAAGAGACCAAGAAGCCCCAGGCCCTGACTCAGGCCTCACGTAGCCACCAGGAAGGAAGAAGAGACCCCACAAAACACTCCCACCAGTTCTTTGCCTCCAGTCACCGCAAAGAGAGGCTGCTCTGCCTTTTAAGATGGAGGCGAACAAGAGCTGGGGTGGGCATACAAGGCGGTGGTAGGTAAATGGGCCTGGGGTTCTTTCTGGGGTGATGGAAATTCTGTAACTGACCCTGAGGATAGCTGCACATATCTGTAAATACGTGAACATGCTAAAATCCACTGACTTGTGCACTTTAAATGAAGCTATGGTACAGGAACTGTATCTCAATAATATTCTCTCAAAAACAGTAAATGCAGTAGCTCATGCCTGTAATCCCAGCACTTTGGAAGGCTGAGACAGGAGGATTGCTTGAGCTCAAGAGTTCGAGTCTAGCCTGGGCAACAAAGACCCACCTCTAAAAAAATTTTTTTAAATGAGGGTGGGCACAATGGCTCTCACCTGTAATCCCAGCACTTTGGGAGGCCAAGCCCGACAGCTCACCTGAGCTCAGGAGTTTGAGACCAGCCTGGTCGACACAGTGAAACCCCGTTTCTACTAAAAATGCAAACATTAGCTGGACGTGGTGGCGGGGGCCTGTGATCCCAGATACTCGGGGGGCTGAGGCAGGAGAATCCCTTGAACCCAGGAGGCAGAGTCTGCAGTGAGCCAAGATCACGCTACTGCATTCCAGCTTGGGTGACAGAGTAAGACTCCTTCTCTTGGGAGGCCAAGGTGGGTGGATCACTTGAACTCGGGAGTTAAAAATAAAATAAAGGCCGGGCGCGGTGGCTCAAGCCTGTAATCCCAGCACTTTGGGAGGCCGAGGCGGGTGGATCACGAGGTCAAGAGATCGAGACCATCCTGGTCAACACGGTGAAACCCCATCTCTACTAAAAATACAAAAAATTAGCTGGGCATGGTGGCACGTGCCTGTAATCCCAGCTACTCAGGAGGCTGAGGCAGGAGAATTGCCTGAACCCAGGAGGCGGAGGTTGCGGTGAGCCGAGATCGCGCCATTGCACTCCAGCCTGGGTAACAAGAGTGAAACTCCGTCTCAAAAAAAAAAAATAAAAAATAAAATAAAATAAAATTCACATGGGAGAATACACATTTCAGACTCACCAGGAATTACTGGTAATGGTTGCACAGTTTTGTGAATGTACTAAAAACCACTGGTGGCCAGGTGTGGTAGCTCACGCCTGTAATCCCAGCACATTGGGAGGCCGAGGTGAGCTGACCATCTGAGGTCAGGAGTTTGAGACCAGCCTGGCCAACATGGCGTAACCTGATCTCTACTAAAAATACAAAAATTAACCGGACGTGGTGGTGGACACCTGTAACAGCTACCCGACAGGCTGAGACAGGACAATCTCTTGAACCCAGGAGGGAGAGGTTGTAGTGGGCTAAGAGAGCCCCATTCTGCTGCAGTCTGAGCAGAAAGAGTCCAACTCCATCTCAAAACAAGTTACCCACTGAACCGTACATTTTTAAAGAGTAGTTTTCGCCAGGCAGTGGCCCATTCCTGTAATCCCAGCACTTTGGGAGGCCAAGCCAGGTGAATTGCTTGAGTCCAGGAGTTCAAGACCAGTCTAGGCATCACAGTGAAACTCTGTCTCTATAAAAATAAGCCAGGCATGGTGGCACATACTTGTAATTCCAGCTACTTGGGAGACTGAGCTGAGAGGGTCACCTGAGCCTGGGATATGGAGAATGTGGTAAGCCTTGATCACACCACTGCACCCCAGTCTGGGTAAGACCCTGTCTCAAGTAGCTTCTCTGGAATGTGAATTATATCTCAATTTTTAATAAAGATTAGGCAGATCTATTGACACGGAAAGATGTCCCTGACATTCAACAAAAAAAGAACAGCCTTGATAAAACCACACATATAGAAAAAAAGTAGGCACCATGGCCTCAACTCTTCCAGGTCCCCGTACCATTCAGCCTGGGAGCCTGCAGCCTCTGATGAATGCCTGGGTTGAGGCGGCCCCAGACCTGAAGACGGCGGCTCTGGGATGAGCCTGGGTTCATCCTTTTCAGAGAAACCTGAAATCTCTCCAGTCTGTTTACAGGAGAGCTTTTCCCTGCTTTTCTCCACTGCTAACTAGACCCCCATGCTCAGGGACAGGTAGAGTGGGATGAGAGGTGGGGCAATGACAGCCTCCGAACACTCCGCTCAAGCTGGCCTTGTGCCAGCCCCCAAGCTGCAGCCACCTATTAGGGGGTTCCTGCTGCCTGGATGCCTCTCCCTGCTCCATTCAGAGAGGCCCCCTCCCTGACCACCCCAGTCTCACTCAGGCCCCTGTCATCTGCCCTCCCAGATTTCAGCATGTGTCACCACAGATCTCACCACGTGTATCCATGGCTGTAACAGGAGGTGGCTGGTGCCCTGGCTGTCATCTGCAAGCGGGAGGGCCCAGCCTCACTCCTGGCTGAACGGCTGGGATCCAGGCGGTGCCTGGTGCTGTTTTTGACAGAGGACTGCAGAGGCCGACACAGACCTGCTGTGGACTCTACAGCAGCCTCTGGGAGAAGGAAGCCCAGAACCGTGCTTGGAGTTAGCATGCTGGCAGTCCCCGGCCTCCTCAACGATAGAGGACAGAACCGCAAGGCTTCAGGCTTTCTAAAGAGCCAGAGAGACAGCGAAGGGGCTGGGGACCAAAAGGCAATGCACCACTCTGTCCCTAAGAGGCACGGCTTGCAGTCCCACTGTGCCACTGCCTGCAATTACAGGGTTCCAGCTCATCGGGGTACACATTCGGGGACCAAGTTCCGCCTCTCTCTTGCTGTCCTCCCACTTTCCAGGAACCAGCCCGAGCTCCTCCCGCAGGAGGGGTCCCCGTACACTGCTTCCGATCAAACCCATCCCTTCCCTGCTCCTTCCTCATTTTATCTCCCAAAACCAGCACAGTCAAGAACCACAGGGGACCAAAGTGTACAGCAGACAGAGCGGTGGTTCTGCCCACTGTGGTTCCTTGGCTCATGAAAACCACTCGCCCTCACCTGGGCGGTCTCCGGCCCGTGACCCCGAGCTATGGGAAAAATGGGGACCGGCTGCACACCCCCTTTCACCCAGGCGCTGGGCACAGAGCAGGCGTCTGCTTTCCCCTCAGGGAGGGACCTGAAGGCGCCGAGGGGCACTGAACCAAGGGGAGGGCGCAGTGAAAGCTGGCTCAGAATCAAAAGCGTCTTTCTCCAGCCAGCAGGAAAAAAAAAAAAAAAGGGAAGACGAACAGCAGGTGGCCGACTGTCTGGGGCCTGGCTGCAGAGGCCACTAAGTCTTTGTTCCACGGAGGAGGTTCCGTGTGACCTTTCTGAGCGGCACCTTTTTCAATTTGGGGGGGAGGTTTCTGAAAGCCTCGGAACACCCATAACATCCATGCAAAGACCACGGTCAGGTGGGTGGGAAAGTCGAGAGTCTCAGGTCTCCACCCTGAAGGGGCCACGACCCACGCGGAGCAGAGGCCTCAGTAGTCCGGGGGACATCCCTCTTAAAAAAACAAACAAACAAACAAAAAAAAACAACGCTGCTCGGGGACTCAGTCACTCTGAGGCGCTTATTCCCAGGACCGCGGTGAGCCTAGGAACGCGCATTTTCACGCACGCCCTCCCGGATCCCGCCATGAGCCCTGCTCCCCGAAACCCCGGCTGGCCACCCCCTCGGGCTGCACGCCACCCCAGGAGCGCCCCAAGGAGGCCCCCCTGCGTCTCTCGGGAACCGAAGGGACAGCCCAGCCCCCACCCCTGCCTCCCAGCAGTGTCTAGCCGCCGCCAGGCGCCCCTGGCCCAATGGGCACGAACAAAGGCGGCCGCCGCTGCCCGGCAGCCGTCCCCGGACTGCCGAACGCCATGCGGCCCAGCAAGCGGCGCACGCGCACTGGGCCTCCGCGAGCGGGACCGACACGCACGCAGGACGCACGCACAGACGCACGACGCACGCGCGGGGCCCAGGCCGCGGCCCGGGGCAGGGGCGCCGTGGCCGCCGCAGAGGCCGCTGGGAGGCGCCCGTTGGGGCCCTGCGCGGCCGGCGCGCTCATTCACCTATAGTAAAAGACATCCCTGTGGCCGGCCGACAGCCCCGACCTTCTGGGCACTTCTTCCCTCTCCCAGCCCTGCGGGAGCGCCGGGCACTCCCACCTCTTCCGCTCCATCGCGCCCGGCTCCTCGGCCCGCCGCCGGGCCCGCCGCCGCCGCCCGAACCCCCGCTTGCCGCCGCTGCCTCAGCTGCCTCCGCTGCCGCTGCCGCCGCCGCCACTTGCCGCGGCTGTTCCGGCCCGCGGGCCCCCACCCTCCGCCCCCAGCCGGGCGCGCGCCGGCTTTGCCGCCCTCTCGGCCCCCTCCCCGCGCTCGCCAGCCCCCGCTCGGGGGGCCCGCTCCGCCCACCCGCCCGCGCGGGGCCCCGTTCTGCGCAGCTGCGGCGCCAGGCCCCGCCCCTCTCTGGCCGCGCCAATCACCGCGTGGGCAGGACGCCGGGCCTCCGGCGGCGTGCGCGCCTGCGCCCGCGCCTGCGCCCTGGACCCCGCGAGCCGCCCATGCCGCGCAGGGTTGCCCGGTCGCCCTCGTCCGCCTGGGGCGCCTGCGCGGGGAGATGCTTTCGGACTAGTGGGGGTCTTTCCCCTCGGCCTTTCTCCGGCCCAGGTCTTGGGGACCCTAGCCCATTGCCTGGACCTCGACTTCCCCGTCCTCCTGGTCTCCCAGCTTCCGAGCTTTTTACGGGCGTCCAAATCTGAAGGGCTTCCTCCGTGACCACCCCCCCGCACCCCCGTAGCTTTTTTGGTTTTTTGAGACGGAGTCTCACGCTGTCGTCCAGGCTGGAGTGCGGTGGCGCGATCCCGGCTCACTGCAGCCCCCACCTCCCAGGTCCAAGTGATCCTCCTGCCTCAGTCTCCCGAGTAGCTGGGATTACAGGTGTGCACCATCACGCCCAGTTAATTTTTGTGTTTTTAGTACAGACGGGGTTTCACCACGTTGTTGGCCAGGCTGGACTGGAACTCCTCCTGACTTCAGGCAGTCCGCCCGCCTCGGCCTCCCAATGTGCTGGGACCACAGGCGTGAGCCATCGCGCCCCACCCAGTAGCTTTCTGACCCCTCAAAATCCAGGAATCTGAGCCCCCCGCTCCCCCGCATGCACTGGTCTAGTCCCCATCTCTGACCAGGAGCGTTCCAAGACCTTCCTGTGGAATCGCCCACTCCCTGTTAACAGGGTCAGCCAGAGGGATCCTGAAATGGAAGCGGGTGGGCCGCCCCCTTCCAGTCCCTTCACTGACAGCATCGCTCCCAGGGGTAGGACTTGGCCGGCCTGGGACACGTGTTCAAGGACCGAGTCTAGCTGCTGTGTCCCCATGCCTCCAGCTGGAGAAGCTCCCCTGCTTCTAAGGACCCCTTTGTTGACACTGGGTCTACCTAAACAATCTGGGGTTTTCTGCTGCCTGAAGAGCTCATCCCATTTTCACACTCCCTTTAGCTGCAGGTTCCAGGGAATAGGACAGGCACGTTATTATTTATTTTTTGAGACAGAGTCTCACTGTGTCACCCAGGCTGCAGTGCAGTGGGTGAGGTTGCGGTGAGCCGAGATTGCACCATTGCACTCTAGCCTGGGAAACAAGAGCAAAACTCCATCTCAAAAAAAAAAAAAAAAAAAAAAGCTAATTCCAGTGCTGAGGCAGGGTAAGTGCCTCCACCCTAAAGTGAACTGGGAATCTTGTTTCCAAAAGTATGGTGCGGGGGTGGACAAAGGAAAATAAGTGTTGGGGAGGAGGTGGAGAAATTGGAACCTTTGGTGGTACACGCCTGTAATCCCAGCTACTCAGGAGGCTGAGGCAGGAGAATCACTTGAACCTGGGAGGTGGAGGTTACAGTGAGCTGGGATTACACCACTGCACTCCAGCCTGGGTGGCAGAGTGAGACTCCATCTCAAAGAAAAAAAAAAAAAGCAAAGCTCAGTACAGAATTACCATAGGACCTGGTGATTCACCCCTGGGTATGCACCCAAAGGTGTAAAAAGCAGGAAAGCAAATACTTGCACACACACGTGACCACACATTACAAGAGCTGAAGGGTGGAAACAGCCAGTGTCTCCAGATGGAACAAGGGATAACCCCAGCATGGCCCACTACTCTGTGGATTAGCCTTCGGCGTGAACAGGAGGGCCGCTTGGACACAGGCCAGCACCCTGCATGCACCTTGAAGGCGTCACGCTCAGCGAGACTCCAGACACGACAGGCCACACAGTGTGTGATCCCATTTCTACGACATGTCTAAGGCAGGCTGATGCACAGAGACAGGAATCGAATGTGTGGGGGTCAGGGGTGGGGAGGGGCTGGGGGGTGACAGCTGACGGGGATGAGGCCTCCATTTGGGTGATGGAATGTTCGTGAACTAGATAGAGGCGTGCTTACCATTGTGAATGTAATAAAACACTCAATTATATGCTTCAAAATGTTTAATTTTATGCTATGTGAATTTCACCTCAATAACAACAAAAAAATGACCTGGGACATATGAGATGGACACAGGAGCCCATGTAGAAGGGGCTCACGATGGTCAAGCTTAGAAGAACTTGAGCAATGAAATGAACGTTTAGAAATGGTTTATACTTGGCCTGGCGTGGTGGCTCACGCCTGTAATCCCAGCACTTTGGGAGGCCAAGGCAGGTGGATCACGAGGTCAAGAGACGGAGACCATCCTGGCCAACACGGCGAAACCCCGTCTGTATAAAAATAGAAAAAAATTAGCCGGGCATGGTGGCATGCGGCCATGGTCCCAGCTATTCGGGAGGCTGAGGCGGAAGAATCGCTTGAACCCAGGAGGCGGACGTTGCAGTGAGCCAAGATTGCGCCACTGCACTCCAGCCTGGTGACAGAGCAAGACTCCCGTCTCAAAAAAAAAAAAAAAAAAAAAGTTTTATACTTGGTAGAATAAGGGTCCTCGAATAAATGGCTAATGGGGCTGAGACCGCTCCTCTTCACAGCAGAGTCCAGTGACTGAATCACAGGACCCCATCAGTCAGGTTGGCTCCTGCGGCCTCCTGGGCTGTCGAGGGCTTTGGTACCATCATGCTGAAGTCACTGCCTTCCCTTCCGGGACTTAAAGGCCAGGACAGGAGGTTCAGAAGTAGGCAGGGAAGCCTCATTGCTACTGGGGTCTGGTCACCTACAGATTCAGGGTTCAAGTCATATTATTATTTTTTTTTGAGATGGAGTCTCACTCTGTCACCAGGCTGGAGTGCAACAGCATGATCTCGGCTCACCGAAACCTCCGCCTCCCGGGTTCAAGCAATTCTCCTGCCTCTGCCCTCCGAGTAGCTGGGACTACAGGCGTGTGTCACCACGCCCAGCTAATATTTGTGTTTTTAGTAGAGACGTGTTGGCCATGATGGTCTCGATCTCTTGACCTCGTGATCCGCCCGCCTCAGCCTCCCAAACTGCTGGGATTATAGGCGTGAGGCACTGTGCCCAGACCAGTTTCTTTTTTGAGACAGGGTCTCACTCTGCCACCCAGGCTGGAGGGCAGTGGTGCAATCATGGCTCACTGCAGCCTGTAACTTCTGGGCTCAAGCAATTCTCTCTCTTTGGCCTCCCAAAGTGCTGGGATTACAGGTGTGGGCCACTACACCTACCCTGGGGTCAGTTTTTTTTTTTTTTTTTAATCTTTATCTAATTTTTTGAGAGTCTGCCTCTGTTGCTCAGGCTGGAGTGCAGTCGTACCTGAGTCACTGTGCCCAGCGCCCTGGCCAATGTGTTTTTAAAAATCAGAACAAAATTGTGCCAGGCACTGGGGCTCCTGCCTGTAATCCTAGCACTTTGGGAGGCCAAAGCGGGTGGATCACCTGAGGTCAGTTCAAGACCAGTCTGGCCAACATGGCAAAACCCCATCTATACTAAAAATACAAAAGTTAGCCAGGCGTGGTGGCGCGTGTCTGTAGTCCCAGCTACTCGGGAGGCTGAAGCAGGAGAATGGCTTGAACCCTAGAGGTAGAGGTTGCAGTGAGCCGAGATCGCACCGCTGCACTCCAGCCTGGGCAACAGAGTGAGACCCCAGCTCCAAAAATAAATAAATGAATTTCTGTTGTTCGAGCCATGCAAAATCTGTGGTATTTTGCTACGGGAACCGTAGGAAACTAATGATAGCTATTTCCGTAAACACACTTATGTGTGCAGAGTGTGTGTCTAGGAGGACTTTTAAGAGGTTGGCAAGAGCTGGAAAGAACTGGCAGCTGCAGGGGACTGTGACTTTGCCCATATACTCTTTTTGTACCTGTTCATTTTTATTTTCCTTTTTTTTTTTTTAAAGACAGGGTTTCACCATGTTGGCCAGGATGGTCTCGATCTCTTGACCTCATGATCCACCTGCCTCGGCCTCCCAAAGTGCTGGGATTACAGGCGTGAGCCACCACGCCCAGCCTGTTCATTTTTGTACCCCAGTGTGATAGTTTGAAATGTCTGATTCCAGGCCGGGCGCAGTGGCTCACGCCTGTGATCCCAGCACTTTGGGAGGCCGAGGCAGGTGGATCATGAGGTCAAGAGATCGAGACCATCCTGGCCAACATGGTGAAACCCCGTCTCTACTAAAAATACAAAAAATCAGCTGGGCATGGTGGCGCGTGCCTGTAATCCCAGCTACTCAGGAGGCTGAGGCAGGAGAATTGCCTGAACCCAGGAGGCGGAGGTTGCGGTGAGCTGAGATCGCGCCATTGCACTCCAGCCTGCGGAACAAGAGCGAAACTCCATCTCAAAAAAAAAAAAAAAAAAGAAATGTCTGATTCCAATATTCTCCCCCTCAAAGCACAAAACCTAATTCCCCTCCCTTCGCACGTGGGCTGGACCTAGGCTTGCTTCTGATGAACAGAGTGTGACGGAAATGATGACGTGAGACTTCTGAGGGTGGGTTGTAAGAGCACTGTGGCTTTCTCCTTGCTCTCCCTGGGTTCCCTTGCTCTGAGGAAGGCAGAGGCCATGTTGTGAGGATGCTCAATCAGCTCTGTGTAGGGTTCCCCACAGGAAGGAACTGCACTGTCACTGACAGCCACGTGAGGGCACCGGCTTGGAAGTGGCTCCTCCAGCCCTGGCTAAGCCTTCCTCAGATGAGGCAGCCCTGTCTGATGTCTTAGCTGCAACCTCACGAGAGACTCTGGGCCACGACCACCCAGACACATCACTCCCAAATCCTTGACTGACACAAACTGGGAGACAGCGAATGTTCATTGCTTTTTTTTTTCTTTTGAGAGGGAGTCTCGCTCTTGTCACCCAGGCTGGAGTGCAGCAGCACGATCTTCGC